AGAGGAGGGAGAGGCGGGTGAAGCAATCGGGGAGGATCAATAAGATTATGAGTTTATAAAATCAGAAACGCTCCAGGGCTAAGATATGGTTTTGCGGGGCAAAGCCTGCGACTACCTATGGCGAAGAGGTGGTGGGCTGGAACCCCCGAGAGATTCGACGCCTGCGGACGCAGGCCGCAGGCACTAGGACTTTCGAGCTGTGGAGCAGATCTCAAATTGGCCTTCGCGCTCGAACCTCAACGAGACCCTTTGAAGCGCGCCTGTGCGACTATGACACGCTATGCGAAAGAGTTTTGGCTGGCCTCTGATTTGATGCATAGACCTGGAGATTGCCTCACCATAGGGGAGCTCCATAGGATCCTCAACGTGGTTCGAGAGTACCAGGACCGGCGTGAACTGGCCTCTTGGGACACAAGATCGTGGGGACCTGTGGGGGACATGCTTCTCTGGATGGGCAAGGCGTCTTGGAGCATTCGTGGGCCAGGTATGTTTACTAAGCGGTCAGGGGCCCCATCTGTGCTCACGGAGATCCCCTACGTTCAGGTATCCAACTACCTCTTCAAGGATCTAGGTACGGAGCTTGTGGCCGAGATTATGCAGAAGTGCCTGAGCTCTAGTGAACACCCTAGAGCACAGGATATTCTGGAGGGAGGTCTCTGGACGGATCCGCCCCGCGCGTTTTGGAATGGCTCCAAGGGGAAACACCTCAGGCGTGTCGTCAAACAGGCGTTCACTAGAAGCTTCGTTACGGCACAGCATCTCCATCGCTGGAGATACCAGGTGGAGCCAACTTGCCCTTTCTGCAGGAACCCGCAGGCGCTAGACAGCGTCTGGCACAGGGTGTTCCAGTGCCCGCACTTTGAGGAGCTGAGGCAGGAGCACATGCCGATAGAGTGGGTGGAGGCTGGACTGGAAGCGGGGGAGGGGGATCCTTTCTTCACGAACCTTTGGTTACCTCGCCCAGACGGGGTGTTCCCGCGAGTTGGGGTGGGGAAGTCAGATACGCTGGGCCTGAGGGCCCGATTTCCGAGTTTCGTTTCTCGAAGGCGGTCCACATCTATTCTGATGGGTCGCGCTATGGAGGAAAGTATGAGCAGGTGGCCAGGGCAGGTTGGTCGGCGGTGGCGGTCAATGATGAAGGAGGACTTGTTTCTGCGGTGTATGGCAATGTTCCTGGTGTCCTTCCTCAGAGCGCCGTTTTCGGAGAGTGTTATGGGCTTCTTCAGGCTCTGAACCACCTTGGAGATGACCCGGAGAGGGAGGAGCCTGACCGCCCTTTTGTGATTCATGTGGGCCGCAAGAGCCTGGCGTCTGCTAGTGATAAATGTTCGGCCACCTCGGGCAACACTCCGCTTGCAGAAGTTTGGCGGGCCCTTTTTTTGCGAAGTCGTATCCCACATGGGTGCTGGGAAAAAGTCAAGGCCCACACCACTGAGGAGCTTTCAGGGATCCCGCTTCGCCACCAGAGAGGCAATGATCGTGCTGATGAGTTCGCCAAGGATGGGGCGAAGATCCATCCGATGACGCTGGAGAACATCCACCGATATGAAGTCATGTCCTCTGGCTGGAGTGATGTCGCCTTAGGAGTAGCAAACATCTTAGTTGAATGTCCAAAGGCCCAAGAGCTGTTTGGGAAACTGGACCGCACTGTCGCGCTTTCGGGGGCCCCGCCCAGGGCTGCGAGTAAGCGCTCTCGCGCCGTTTTGTGGAACGGCCCCATGTGGAGGTGCAGCAGGTGCGCGAAAGGATTCAGGTCCAAAGTAGCAAAGGGTGTGTGCGCTGCCCTCACGCCTGCTCTGAGAAAGATCAGAGATTTGGAGGTTGAGCCCGCCCACAAGTTGTACGTTTGCAAAGTGATAGAGTCAGGCTTGCCCGTGGTTTTCTGTTTGCGGTGCGGGGCCTACACCACTGGCCCTGCCAGGGCCTTGGGGGCCCCGTGCGTCAAAATCTTCAGGCAACAGAGGGCGCAGCTTCTTGGCGGGAAGTTGCCGTGGCCCCGTGGTAAGCACGTCTCAAAACCGTGGGCCCTAGAGTCTCCGTCTCCCGAAAGGGAATGGTGGTCGCGGCTCCAACATGTATAATCTGCTTCTTTTCCCAAGTCAGCCCTGTCGAGCCCAGTTCGAGGGAGCAGTGAGAGCGCCAACGGTAAAAAGGGGGAAGGGAGGGGGAGGGGGAGGGGGAGGGGGAGGGGAGGGGGAGGAGGAGGGAGGAGGAGGAGGAGGAAGGAGGAGGAGGAGGAGGAGGGGAGGAGGAGGAGGAGGAGGAGGAGGAGGAGAGGGGGAGGAGGGGGAGGAGGGGGAGGGGGAGGGGGAGGGGGAGGGGGAGGGAGGGGGAGGGGGAGGGGAGGGGGAGGGGAGGGGGAGGGGGAGGGGGAGGGGGAGGGGGAGGGGAGGGGGAGGGGGGGGGAGGGGAGGGGGGAGGGGAGGGGGAGGGGGGGGGAGGGGGAGGGGGAGGGGGAGGGGGGGGAGGGGAGGGGGAGGGAGGAGGGGGAGGGGGAGGGGGAGGGGGGAGGAGGAGGAGGGGCGAGGGGGAGGAGGAGGGGGAGGGGGAGAGGAGGAGGGCCCCCTCCCCGTCTCCAACTTTTGGTGGTGGTGGTGGAAAACGAGCCCCTCAAGCGAGGAGCGGGGAGGGCTCGGCGAGGGCCTTCGGAGGGTTCGAGGGATCCCTGGATTTCAGTCGGGCCTGTCCCTCCACTCTACAGGGGGGAACATGCACAAATAGTCGCAAAGGATAGTCAGGGGAGGATGTGTTGTCGTTTTTTGTTTTTTTGTGTGTGGGTTTGTGTTTTTGTCGATTCTGTATTCTCGCTCTTCAGGGAAAATTAAGTATGGTTTGACTATTTTGCATTTTTCGCCCAAAATCCGCCTGTAGGGGGACGTGCCCGACCTGATCCTGAGGTCCGAGGGCTCGAGGCTCCGACGACCGGCCAGCCTTCCTGGGGATCGGGGGTCGAGGGTCCGCCGATGACCGTCGAGGGTCCGGAGGGATCGGGGGTCGAGGGTCCGCCGATGACCGTCGAGGGTGCGGAGGGATCGGGGGTCGAGGGTCCGATGACCGACGGGTGAGGGTCCGGAGGGATCGGGGGTCGAGGGTCCGCCGATGACCGTCGAGGGTCCGGAGGGATCGGGGATCGAGGGTCCGATGACCGACGGGTGAGGGTCCGGAGGGATCGGGGGTCGAGGGTCCGATGATCGGTTTTTCGTCTGGGACCAGTCTCTCGTGTTTCGGGCGGAGTCGTTTCTTGACGGCCCTGAGGCCCGGCAAGCGCCCCTGGAGACTGAAAATGGGGAGGCACCTTCCGTCGTGTTTTTTGTCATGACTCGGTGGGGTCTGGGCCTCGTGCCTGCCATCGTCAGGCGGAGCTAGGACGAGGATCAATCCGTTCCAGAGCGTTCTGGAACGCTCTCGGGGCCTTCCGGAACGCTCTGAGAAGGCCGCGGCGCCCGAGACATCTGCCAGAGTTGCCTGATCTCAGAGAGTATCGATTTATCATCACCCGTTTTTGTCTTCGTCTTGGCTTCGACTTGCATCGCACTGTCCCCCGCGCTGATCGCTCCAGGAGCAGCGCCATCGCGCTGGCCTGCGATGTGAGTGGCTATACGTCAGGTTGACCTGTTGCTGGGGTAACCTGTGGTGCGGGCCCACTGGGGAAAATAGTAAAAAATAGTCTGGGGGACATTTTTGTTGCGTCTTATTGACTATGTTTGCACATTGTCTGGGTATGGGGCGAATTTTTGAGTATTGTTGACTATGTATGAATATTTTCACTCACTGTTCACTTATCCTCCAAAATCCCCCTGTAGAAGAATCAAAACTGTGCACATGCACCGATTCTGGCCAGGCCCATCCTGAGCCCATGATCGGTGCATACGCCCTCCTACCTTGGCCAGGAAGGCATATGCACCGATCCTGGGTCAAGGATGGGCCCTGCCAGGATCGGTGCATGAGCACAGTTCTCTTCGCTCGACATGTCGGGGGACACTCCCGACTTACCTCAACCCTGGATGGCCGCATGCGATGCACTAGCAGCGGCTTGTGCGCTCCGATGCGGCCTTCCCGCGGCCCCGAGAGCCGCGCACCCCAGACGTCACTCCTTGCCTGTGGTCGCTCTCGCGTCTGGCCGAGCTGATCTGGGGCAGCGGCAAGGGGAGACAGGCATACGCGCTGGTCGTTGAAAGTAGGTATTTTTGGACTCTCAGATCCCTATCTACTTCAAGCGCCTTCCTACTTCAAGAATCGACACGCTTTTGCTGTGTTTTGTTATTCTCAGGGGGTGCCTGGACCCAGTCAACTCAATCCGCCTTCCTACTTCATGTTTTTACCTAGTTCTTCCGACCGACGTGTAGGGGTAAGTCGGGCCTGTCCCTCTACAGGAGGAATTTTCAACATTTTTTGAACATGAGATATCCGGGGGCCATGTTTTGAATCTTTCTTTTTGTGTGTTGAAGATGGTTTGGCGTGTTTTCGATTTGTCGTCCAAAATCCGCCTGTCGGGGGACATGCCCGACTTGAGCATTGGGGCGGATTCACCGACCCCCAATCGCCCATTGATCGCCGATATGGGCCCGATGGCCTCAACTTGCCCAGGAACGTGGGATTCACTACCTGGGGGCCCATCGCCAGTGCGTCGGCGACGCATCTCCGATTCCAGGGGGCGACATTTCGCCAGCGACGTGTCGCACATGCATCGGTGATGTATCGCGACGCACGCGTCCCCCCCAATTCGAGTATGGGATCGACGACACAATTCATTTACTCCAAAATTGGGCTTTCCGTCGAACCTACCAACAATGCGGAGAATCGTATGTAGATCTGTGGAGCATTCTATGCATTTGTTCTTGGCTTTCTCTGCGAAGTACAAATCTTGGGGTAAGTCAGTTCTGTAGCCGATTCTATAATCCAACCAATGCCAGCCACCCCCCCATCGTTGCCCCCCGTGGATCGCTCCACGAGCAGCAGCAGCAGCAGCAGCAGCAGCGCCAGCGGGCCGGCTCCCGCAGGGGCGCCCCCAGCACGCGGGGCCGCTGCAGCGCCGCGGTGGCCGCCGGCGACGGGCCCCCCCGCGGCAGCGCCGCGCTCCGCCGTCGCGCGCGGCTTGGCTGGCGCGGGAGCGAGCAAAAGGTTTGGCGCCCAGCCGTCGTCGAGGAGTTCCGCCTGCTGGCGCCCCCCCTCTGCCGTAGGGTGCCTCGCTAAACGTGGCGGGCAGGGCGCGGAACTCAAATAAAAAAACAGGAAGATTTGCTGCCGCGCAAGAGTGGCCCCTCGCTGGAGTGACCTTTGGTGCGGGCTCATCGGGGCCTCCCCGATCGCTGAGCGCGAGGCGGTGGCAGCGGCCTGCGCGTCTAGGTTTCGGCCCTCCGAAGCAGGCAGCAGCAGGCAGTCCGGTCGGGTGGCCGTCCTATCTCACTCCGGGTCGTCCACACGATCGTCCAGCCCCAGGGCAAGTTGCAGGAGGGCGCCAACGCAATGCTTTTGGCCAGCTGTCTGCCATCGTGCCTACTCGCTGAGCCAGCCTGTACTGTCGTCGTAGCAATGGGACCCTCCAGTCTTCCATGGGATATGGTATTGGGGCAGCATACACTTTCAGCCTCATCCTCCGCATTGTGTTGTCCTACGGCTCGTCTTCCAGGCGAATCCAACCAACGATTGTTTGAACATCCTCCGTTGAACCACAGTGAGCTCAACTGCGACCGTGCCATTGCAGAAGACGAGAGGCCAAACAATACCGTCTGAGTAATTACTGTGCCGAGGAACTTGATCCAGGAGTACATGCTTAGTTGTTTGTCCATTAAGATGTCGCGATGCTTATGGAATACCATCCATGCTGTTTTGAGCCCGATGTCCAACCTCAAAAGTACTCCTCGAACGTAGGTTGCCGCACAACTTCCTTCCAACATATTTGTGGGCCATGTCACCGTTCAGAACGTCCGCGGGTTCGCCTCCAACGTCCAGCGAACCCGCGTTGATGTCGCATACTGTCGTAAATACATGTGTATTTCCCGCGTTCAGGCTGAGACCTTGTTTAGCAAGTTCCTTTTTGAGCGCCGTGGCCATTATGATGAGATCCGCACGTGATGCAGCGACAATCATGGTGTCGTCCGCGCATCTGTTATTTTGGGCGCCCCCATTATCAATTAGAACGTTTTTTTCTCATCTACCCGGACCTTACATTTGCGAAGTGCTGATTCGAACCCCGCATTGAAAAAGCAATGGGCTCAGGGCCTCGTTTTGATTGACGCACCTTTGTATTTCAGAACAACGAGAACCGCGAACTCGCCCGCGTTGGTTTGTATAGATAACGTGTAACTTTGCGATGTATTTTTCTCCCACGCCTTGGCTCTGGAACGAGTCTAGCAGCGGTTGGAGTTCAATTTGATCGAAGGCCTTGCTCATGTCCAGGATCAAACACCACAGGCACATTCCATTACAAGCACTTGCCGCACACAGTTTCGAATACGATGAAAGCTTCATCCACCGATCGTTCAAAGCGAAATCCCATTTGGTCGTCTGATTGTTGGGCGTCCAACTCGCCGCGAATGCGGTGGTACAGTAGACGCGCGAAGAGTTTGTATGAGATTCCCAAAATTTCGACGTGCCTCCAGTTCTGCTGAAAGCTTAGGTCACCAGCCTTCGGTAGCATCGAAAACGTTATCTCTATCCAGGTCGGGTCAATTGCGCCCTCACTAAACTTGTATTGAAAAGTCAAGTAGAAATGCTTTGACCATTTCCACCACGATCCCAATCTCATCTTAACCTCTCCAGAGTTTCATCGATTTCAGTGCACGTCGAAGCTCCCACATAGTGAGAGTGCGTACCCTCGTAGAGCAGCCGACCAATACATGTATATACATATACATATCTTGCAGATACGCAGAAGATGATCCAGATGAGTACGTCCATCCGGTCTTGAAGATCCCCTCCAAGTAGTTGGGCAAAATCATTTGGCCTCGCTTTCGCGCCAGATTCGACTTCTGGAGAACATGCTGGTAGTCTCCTTGCGTCGTTGATCTGGTCGAGCTCGATTAACTCGTCCAGGATAAATTGAAACTTACACTTTTTGGTTTTCTGCGCTCCCTGCGGCCCCCAACCAGCCGCGCACCAGATGTCTTTCTTACCCAGGGTCACTCGTGCGTGTAGCCGAAAGACTCTAGGCCTCCCAGATCGGGTCCAAGTAGAGGGGGTCGAAGGATCGCGCCGCATCGCCGATGCGTCGCCCATGCATCGTCGATGCATCGTCGATGTTTGCGATGCATCGGCGACGTCGGCGTGGAGAAAGTCGGGCTCCACATCGAGCCGCATCGCCGATGCATCGGCGCCATCCTCCGACCCCATCTACTCGGACCCCATGGAGACGACACCGAGAGCGTTTTGTTTGGGGGGGGCATTCCAGAGAGGGCTTCGTCTTCGAGGATCGATGGGGGAGGGCACCTCTTCCTGGGCGGAAGGGCGGCGGAAGGGCGTCGGAAGTACAACGAGGCCGCCTCTGCTGGCGGAAGCTGGCGGAAGGGTGGCAGCCGGCGGAGGTGAAAGATGCGCCCCCAAGAGATGAGCACGTTTTTGGGTTCAGAGTTTCCGGAACCCGCCTTTTTTTCAGGAGGGGAAAAAACACACAGACACAATTAATCGTCGATTCCCCAGAAAATATGGGAAGATATGGGCAGCGGGGGGGAAGACAAAAACCTAAAGAATATGGGAAAATATGGGGAATCCTGTTATTTGTATGTATTTATTTGTGTGTCCTTAGGCCCCTTCATGTTGGCACTGGGCCACAACGCGCGCGGTGTGCCCCCCCCCCCCTCCCCCCCGCAGTGACGTAGCGCCCCCCCCCCCCCTCCAGTGCGCCTCTGGCACTGCCGCGACCGCGTCCGGAGTCGCATGCTGTCACAGCGGTGGACGAGGGGCGTTGCGTTGTGTCCCCCCTCCGCCCCCCCCCCCGCTCTTTCCCATATCGCCCCTTCGCCCCTCCCCCGTTGCGTTATGTCGCCCCTTCGCCCCCCCCCCCACCCGCTCTGTCCCCTATCGCCCGCGATCCTGCCGCGAAGAAACTGAGCCTTCGCACAGGCAGACACGTCCAGAGGCCCGCGCTGATCTTGGATCGCCGCTGGGAAGCCCCCCTTCCTGGCGCGAAGCGCGCCGGGGGCGGCGCCGGAGGCGCCCAGCCGTCGTCGAAAAATAACAATCTGCGACCCTTTTGCGAGCCCTGCTTTCGGATAGTCGCGAGGCATTCTTATCGGGGGCGGACAGAACCCCCAACAGTGACACGTCGATTAGTGAATTGTCCGTTTTCGGCTCTCGAGAGGGCGCCGCGGCCGCTATTTTCCAGGCTTGCGCCCGCCAGGTTTGGGCCTCAGGTCGTTTTCGCTAAACCACGTTTTACTAAAGGGAGGTCTGTCCATCCCCGATCTTAGGTCGGCGGCGCCGGACCCCCTTCTTATTGGCGGCGCCTCCGCCCCTGGCGCGCCCTGCGCGCCAGGGTGAGGGGTCCAATCGACGCCGGGGCTTTGGACGCCCGCGACGGGGCTCACTTGGCTGCAGGCCTCCTATAAGTTCTGACCCCGAGCAAGTTTTTCGGGGGCGGACAGAACCAGAACCCCCGACAGTGACACGTCGATTAGTGAATTGTCCGTTTTCGGTTCTCGAGAGGGCGCCGCGGCCGTTATTTTCCAGGCTTGCGCCCGCCAGGTTTGGGCCTCAGGTCGTTTCACTAAACCACGTTTTACTAAAGGGAGGTCTGTCCATCCCCGAGTTTAGTCGAGAGCTAACCTGCATAGTGCATGGGCAAGTAGTGTTCGCAAATGAGCGACAGCAGAAAGCGGGTTCGGTTCCGCCCGTTTGGCGCGTACGTTCCCCGCGTGAGGTCGCGCGTAGGTGCCCTTGTTTCCGATGTAACCGCCCGCCACTTCCGTGGGCTTCTGGGAGCCTCGGCGGAGGTGGGGGCAACGCGCATCATGAAGTCGGGCCTGTCGTCCTACAGGAGGAACATTTGAGACTGGTCAAAACAATAGTCTGGGGACGATTTTTATACTATGTTTGACCATTTGGAGTTGTTTTATTTATTTTATTTTCCACTGTTCGCCCACAGTCCGCCTGTAGGGGGGCACGCCCGACCTACAGCGCATCACTTGGGGACCCCGCTGCTCCTTGGGAGGGGCCGCCGGCCCCGAGGGAGACACCCGAGACCGGCGGGCCCCAAGGCTCGGGGCTTGTCGGCGAGCGGGCCCCCGGGGGCGAGACGGAGCTTGGGTCAAAGCCGGGTCTGTCCCTCTGCAGGGGGATTCTTCAAAAACAGTCAGATATGAGTCTGGGGGCGAGTTTCTCTCAAGTTTTTCATATTTTGGGGGGTATCTCTTCGACGATTCTTCAGTTTGTCCTCCCACACCCGCCTGTAGGGGGGACACGCCCGACCAAAGCTTAGGTCGGGCAGTATCCCCCACACAGCTGGATCTTGGACAAAAAGGTACGCGGAACGAGTCGAACGAAAATCGCCGAATCGTCCCTGGACCGCTCTTCTAATGCAGTCTTTGAGCATACCCCCTGCAGAGAAACAGGTGCCCGACCGAAGACGGAGCCTGGGCCTCCCACTCGGGGGGCGCCGCGCAGCGAGCGGCCCCCCTGCGGGTGAGAGCGGTCGCGCCGCATCGCCGGTGCTCAGAGGAGGGAGAACTACCCTGACCTTCCAGGAGGGCAAAGAAATAGCGCCCGACCTAAAAACCTATCCCAGAGCTATTCTGCGTCTTGGTTTTAGGCTGTTTCGTTTAGTTTTTTAGATTTTTAGATCTCCAGTGTTAAAAAATAACTCTCTGGAAGGTCAGGGTAACGTGCTCATATACCTTGGTGGGCCCTGGGAAACGACAGGGCCGTTTTTGTCACCGGCTCCGTTTTGCCGTTCTCTTACCGGCTCCGACGCCGTGGTTGTTGCCCTTTCCATGTTCAAGGGGCACTGTTTCTGAAACGGTGAACAAACGGCCCTGCCGTTTCCGGGGCCCACAAAGTCATATACTGCTACCCTGGCCTCGGCCTCGTTTACCCATTTCTCATGGCGCCAACATCGCAGAGCGGGCGTCGTTCGGAAAACGATGGGGTGGGCCCGGGGTGTCCTGGAGAAGTTCGTGGGGGGAGGCGGAGGAGGAGGAGCAGAAAGAGGGAGGAGGTCCCGAGCGATGGGGGCACCGAAAGCTGTGGAGCAGCGACAAAGGATGGCTGTCAGGCACAGGTCATGCA